GTCTGGTTGAATAGTTGAGTATTTTTCGTGAAACGTTCATAGAAAGCCGCCCCTTTCGAAACGCAAAACTTTAATGGTTGTTCACTAAAGTTTACGATCCAAGTTTTTGCAATTAATTAATTTAATGAAAAGATTATTAAAGAGCATGTGCCACGTAAACGCGCTATGTTACCGACTGCCTGTGAAGTTGAAGTGCGAAATGTTTTAACAGAGAGCAGTATAGTTCACGATACGAGTTGATGAAATTGATTTCAGACCGGCATTGAGCTCTCCGCGTGAACGTCAGTCTTTATCTGTACATAATAATACATCTTTTGAATAATAATTGTTTTATTTTTTTATTTTAGCGTCCTTTTGTTTTTCAACGAAAAAGATATAAAATTTTGGGGAATAAAAATAATCGGAGTAGTATCGAGAAACCGAATATTTCTCGAATATTACATTGCCTTAAGGATACAGAGCTCCTCTAGGACTCTGAGGAAGCGATAAAATCGATCATGCTTTTTCTAATATAATATTCTTATTTTATATTTTTTATATTTTTTGTCTTCGATATGAGATTTTAAAATGAGATGTAAAAATTCCAGAGAAATCATTGACCCCTGATTATCATGCAAAAATCAAATATTCCGACCATTAAACTGCTATAAGGATATAAAACTTCGCAATATTTTGGAAGAGGAAGAGATTAATTATGCTTTTTCTTTTAATAATATAAAATTCTTATTTTATTATATTTTTTCTTTAATATGAAATTTTATTTTAAAAATTCCAGAGAAATAATTGATTCCTGCGATTATGCAAAAATCAAATATTTCTACCATTAAACTGTTAGAAAGATCTCAGGTAGCAAGCACACGTCATTTTGACATTCCAAACTGGTCATTTTTGGTCATGTGTGGTCTAAATGATTAATTCGCTACATGACTTTATATTGACATTTTGATATAATATTATTTTGACGTCTTTTTTTAGTTATAAACTGCCGATTATTTTATTATTAATGTGATTAGTTAGTACATCGATTCCATAAAAAAATCTTTTAACATTTTTTATATAACAAGACTTTCCCGATCAGATCTTAACAATTTTTCTTTCGACGCATGCGTTTATCTGTGCACGATTTATGTTGCTTAATCATTCAAGTGTTTATTAAATTAGTGCACAATGAAAATATTAGCTATATCAATCGAGTGTAATTAAAGTGTCAAAAGACAAAGTATATTTTTACAAAACGTAGGCAACGGAAGACATTGTTTGTTGAAATTTTATATCATATTAAAAGTAAATTTTTTTTATTTATGTTTAAATAAAATAATAATAACAAATATAAAACTTGTGACATATTTTCTTATCATATTTGTGTTTTCCAGCGTTTTTAAATAAAGCAGTTTAATCGATCCTCTAAAGAATAGAATGATATAATTTCAATGATGCTCTCGAATCGATTAATCTGCTTTATTCGACAACACTATTAAATACATTATTATGCTAAGAAATAAACGTCAAAATATTTTATGAACAAAATGCGATACATGTCAAGAGTCTATGACATCAAATCGTCTCTTTTAAGTCATAAAAACATTAACTGGCATCAAGAATATTAATCAGTGAATGACCAATTTGCAATGATAAAATGATGTGTGCTTGTTACCTGGAATATAGTTCTTTGGTTCCTTTTGAGGAAGAGATCGATCATTTTTCCAATAACAATATATTTTTCTAATACCAATATTCTTATTTTTTACATGTTTTGTTCTTGATATTCTTGATAAATTTCCTGTTGAATTCTAAAAATTCAACAGAAATCATTAATTCCTGAGATTATCATCAGCGCAATTTAAATACTTCGCGATACTTTTTTTCTACATTGAGAAAAATTATTTAATTGTATCAACAAGACGTACATGATTGAAGCCATTTTGATTAAATCAAAGAATTTCTAGTTATCATAATAAGCCTGGTTTTTTTATAACTAGAACGTTTAATAGATTTTACTATAAGGATTTCGTTAGTATTTTCTGGTTGGATCTATAAAATTTCTTGTTACATTAATTTCTTTGCTTGCCACTCTTAACTTAACTTGTATTCAATATTTGCCATAAAGTATATATAAAGAACTAGTATTAACGTTAAATCCAAAGTATATTTTTTTTCTCTTACGAGCAGTAGTGCCAGAAAGAGGACGTTAGCTGTCTGATTGTGTTTGAGCTGCATCCTCTTCTTGCATCACTATTTATCAGTTTAATTTCTAACAAACTGAACTTGAAATAATTTACTCAATAATCTGAATTGAATTTATCCAATAATCTTGTTGGAATTCAGAATATTAAACAGACTTTTGAGATTAGATGGAAAAAATTTTAGACGATTTGATGCTGGCAAGTTTAGTATTATTAACCGGAAAATTTGATAAATTTAACAGGAAGAAATTAATCAGATTCATCTGATAATTCCTACAAGAATTCTGGTCCATTTTTCAACAAACATCCTGGTTGAATCTAAGAGAATGCTAATTAATGCAACCAGATTTTTTTCTCAGTGTATATATCTTTTATAAATTAATTTTTTTACAAGAGTTTCGATTTAGTGCAAGAGATTTTTCCTTCGACGTACGCAACGTTGATTTGTAATTACCTTTGTGCGCAAGAGATTCTGCACGTCATACAGCGTGATTTTTTTAGTAGGCACCTACGCACTGTTGGCAGCGACGTCATCGGATTTTCGCTCTCTCATCTCTCATCTCTCGCGCCAGACGTACAGTGCTCCGTTCGTCAATATGTATATGTGTTATACATATGCAGGAGGAAGCGGCACATTTGTAGCATGTTACGTCAAACGCTATATTTATAGTCGGGTCTCGGGCTCGCGACCTTATCATATTCGCCATAATGGCACTCGATTATATGCGGAACTCGTCGGGATCTTGAAACAGAATAACAGAGTTGTGTATGATTATTAAGTCGCAAGTTGTAGACATGCTCACGTGCAACCGGTTACGGTATTAGTCTATATTTGATCTTTGAATATCGTAACTATAACCCCGGAACTTGGACCAGTTAAAGTAAGCTCTCCAAGTCACCCACGCAAAAATCGAGTTCACTTCTGAACGATGAATCGACTCGCTCGAATTTGAATCTTGTATATAAATGTTCTTTTTGTGAAAGAATCTTATTAAGAAGCCGGGCTTCCCGAGATTTGCTCCGAGCGATATTCCAATAATGCAAATCACGTTCTCACAGTAATACCTGTGCGTTATTAATAATATCAGATTATATTTAATGATAATATTATGTGAAATTAATTTTACTAATTATTTTATTTACGAACGAGAATTCCTTTTATCGTCTTTATGTAACGCGATTCATTTCCGAGATATTTGATCACCATTCATTGAAATTTTGAAATTAATTCTTCTTTCGAATTTTTCCTTGTATATTTTTTATGTCGTTTTATGTGTAACAATTATTTGTGAATTTAATTTTACTAATTATTTTTTTTTTACGAACGAGAATTCCTTTTATCATTTTTATGTAACGCGATTCATTTCCGAGATATTTGATCGTCATTCATTGAAATTTTGAAATTAATTCGAATTTTTCCTTGTATATTTTTTATCTCGTTTCATGTGTAACGATTATTTGTGAATTTAATTTTACTAATTATTTTTTTTTACGCACGAGAATTTCTTTTATCATCTTTATGTAACGCGATTCATTTCCGAGATATTTGATCGTCATTCATTGAAATTTTGAAATTAATTCGAATTTTTCCTTGTATATTTTTTATCTCGTTTCATGTGTAACGATTATTTGTTTCTTGTGCTTCCGAACTTGTGAAGAAATTAATCTCAAAGATGATAAAAAAACGATGTTTATAACATTGTAATATAACATAATGATTATTTTAAAGCTCGAGCAAGCATTGAATGTAAGTTATTATTGTTTGCATCGCAAACAGACCGAAATAGAGACTCAGTTTAATTTTACACCTTGTGAAGCCAACCCAGCCTTCATTTACACTTCGTCTGTTGCATCTCGCGTATTGTAAAGCTAAAATAAAGACGTTCTTCAGCAAGTTTAAATCTGATTGATTGAAAGCCTTTCGCAGAAACGCCAGTCGAATTATTTGAGCAATCAATAAGTTCTTTGGAGATTCAAAATGACGTGGCGATGTATTAGTAATAAGTATGTTCGCTTTCGACGAATTTCGTCGACGTCATTTCCTATGAGATTATATGGGAATTTATTCGATAATTTGCGATTAGTTCCCTCTATCGCATCGCAATTAAATAAAAATAGCAAGCTTAAGGAATTCCATCTTGGCGATAATGAGAAACAGCTTCATCTCTCACTGAATGCACATTTAAAAAATTCTTACAACTTTTTGATTATATATTTGCGTTATTCCTAATCTCTCGATGTAATGTAATATCACGTAATAACATTCAAGTGTTTGCGTTATCTTCGAAGAAAATGTGCGTCAGATGTTCGAATGATAAGCACAGATTTTCCGACAGAAGGCCCGAATCGATTTGCATTCGCTTCAAAAGGATTGAGAATTTTATAAAATAGCAACACCAAACGTTCCATCATATTTACCCAGCCCTAATATTTCATTGAAAGGATTTCAATGAATGCGCAACCAATGATTCACGTGAATCACGCGTGACACCTTTTGCAAACATTGATATTTTACGCGTGCAACGAACCTAATACGTAATTAACGTAGCTAATCCAATTTACGCGAGGAGAATGCAATTTACGAGATATTTAGCAACGAGTCTCTCTCGCGGAGCGTAAATAACGTTCGGATAAAATTAGCCAGAGCCTGTCTCAAGGGATGGTCTTTCCGAGAAACGGCGATATTACGCGATCGCTTAGCGAATCAGTCAGAGATCGGAGGAAATATCTTGGACGATTGATAACGCGTGCGCGCGCGGATGCGAAATACTTGGAGTATATCACGTACACACCTGCATACATACATACACGCCGAGCTCAGTCATCGGCACGTTCGTCAGAGTGTGTGCATCGCCACACGAGGCGCGAAAGATCGGCTCTCTCATTCGATAAAGACACGAGCGGATCGCGGTGTCCGTCCAGTCAGTTCTCGGACTTGGATCGGTGAACCTGTCGCGTGGATCCCATCGATCGCTGATCACGCATCGATTTTTGATCGCCTGCCGGTGCGATTGCCTGTTGAAGTGACAGGGAAAAATCTCTCGCGTGGAAAATTTTCATCGATAATAATAAGAAAAATTCCGATCTCGGGAGAAAGTAACGAGTCAGTGAAGAATATCTCAGAGGTGGTCTGCTAAGGATTTAACGCTGAAAGTTGGAGTTCGCTGATTATAAAGTACAAGTGGATCCCTGATAATCCGAAAAAGTCAATCGATCTAGTGCCAAAAAGTAAGTTTGCCTTCACGCATGGTCGATACACGCGGATGCGACGACGTCACTTTCCAAAAGCCGGTCTTGGAGTAGGAAAGATATAATGGAGGATGAGCTAATAACCGGCAACTACACCGCAAGATTACGACAAGGTCCGCTGCTCGTTGTTTTTTACAATCCGTTTCTCGGACAATGAGATAGCGGGAATTGCAGGTCAACGATCTTTCATTATAATCGTACTCGACACGATAATCGATTCTTTCCTCGCCGATTTTGGAAAGTGACGTCTTCGTCGCGTCGATGAGATTCCGCTTGCCTTGATCTGATCCGGATTTCTTCGCAAATAATTATGCAAATGAGACAACGAGGTCGTTCTTTTAAGAGGCTATTTCGTAATAAATGTGATAAAATTTTGCGCGCAATATTGTCTCGCGAAGAAGTCCGACAAACAATTTAATATTATTTTAGTATTCGATAACGTTTTCGTTCTTAACACGTAGGTTTCCCGGACTACGAGGCCAGATAGGGATTTCCAGATGACTTAATAGGCACCCCATGGAATGTGACTGATACAGATGCACTTGTGCGGAGATATCGTTACGAAGAAGAAGAAAAACGCGATAAAAGTGATTTGAGAATCAATTGATATCGCTAATCTCGATTCTATGATTCTGGAGAGCTTTGGATTTATATTTTTCTGACTAATTCAAGGGGCCAACCGACCGAAAGCGGATTCGAATATTTAATTGAAACCGATTAAGCGATTAGTAAGTTGACAGTACACGGAAGACTTATCGACAAGTGCAAGCAGGGTGTGACGAGATAAATGTACAAGAGATTTAATGTGATATCGAGTGACACAAATGAAAACTGAAGAAAGCGCCTGTCTCGTCTAAACGTCACCAAGACGCATATCGCACGATTTAATCTTATATCGTCGGTTCATTAAGAGCAAAATCAAATTGCCATTCTTACTCGTAGAGAGTTCGTTATATGAGAAATTCAAAGTTCAATTTTGTTTACAAAGTGCTCGATAAATAAATCGACATTTAAAAGTTGATATAAATTCCAACTGTGCAAAGACTCGAGGATACATATCATAGACTTCGACGAGACGTAACTGTATTATTCAAGATGAGTCTCATTTACATCTGCGCCCTTTTAGTGTGTCTGTCGACGTCAATCGCGAGTGACGAATCGCCAATTATACACACTATTCCATTGGTAAGCGCAATTTTTGTGATATTCAATAAAGTCATATACATTTATTTGTGTGTCAGAACTTCGTGCCATTTCTATCTGATAGAATTATACTTAGTCTAAGTCGATGCCTAATTTTTGATACCATCCAGATAAGAGTCCAGACATTTGATTCGATCTCTTCCGATCCTTGATACTTTTGTATAAGATTCTTTGATCAAGACATTTCGGGAAAGACGAGGAAATATCTAATACGAAAAAAACATTCATATAAATACATTTTAATTGCAAATCAATGTTTTATTTTACATGATATGTATAATTGTACATTTAATTATCTTTGCTCAACATTTTATGCAAAAACAATTTTATAAAATAATTTTATAAAAACAATTTTATAAGAAATTTGTTATAAAAAAATCTTAAATATTTTTTGTATGACAAAATTTCTTGAATTTTCTCAAACCAGTTTTTACTCATGACTTTGCGCCATCAACAATTTATTTATCATTATTCGCGTCATTATCTCCTTCATTCATATTCATGATGTTACCTAAGCTGTGTTTCCTGAATTTTCGAATGTTAAAATATTCGTCGTTTAAATAATACTTGCAAATGGATGGATTTCAGCGGAATATTTTCAATCTTTGTTTTCAGCAAAACGAGACTGTAGTGCCGGAGGAATACAGAAATCTGCCATTGGTGGGAAAATGTTGCCCCGTAAACGAAGTCCTCGAAAGAAGCGCAAACGAGTCTAAGTGCGTTCCCTCAACGTTATATTTCTCGCCCCTCTTCAGTGAGTTTAATCACACCGGCGTATTGGTGCCGGGAGATGAATCTTCTGAATTCGTCGCTATTGTTGGAAGCCCCTGCGATAAAAAGTACGTATCAAGATATTACACAGAGGATTTATAAATAGCTGAATAATCAGATTTTATGCCGTATTATTTTGTTGAAGTTCAGTCGTTATATAATATAAAATGCGTAGACATCCTACTATCGTTATATCCTTATCAATAGATCGCAACAGTTGGTAATCCTATGATAAGACTCATTTGTGTCGTAATAAAACTTCGATACGAACTTCAATTTATTGATCGCGTGCTAAATTTAGGAAATATAATGAAGAATGATTTTGCGAATTTTACTTCTATATCTTGCGCCTATTACAAGTTACGAATGATAACGCAAAATATAAAATAAATGTTTGTTGAAATAAAGTAAATATATGACTAAAGTCGATAAAGTAAATATATCAGATGTCACGTAAAATGAAAATTTATATAATATCTTTTTTTCAAAGAAAATATATCAAGAAAAATAATATATCGATACTATGCACTGATAACTCTGCATTCTTGATATTGCATTCCTTAGATACTTACGAATTATGAGACATTGAAGGAGCAATTGTGTATCTTATTAAAAGCAATTTATGAGCTGTTAAGGTCAATAGATGCACTCATTCGACTCCATGTGATAGATAACGTAATTCATTTTTCCCCAACAAGAAGAAATTATTTATCGTGTCGTGATAATCGGCGGAGATGAAATCATAAAGTGATATTTAATCTCACCGAATGAAATATAATGCATCGCGTCGCGATTTATTGATAAAGAACAAATATAAAAATAATTAATTTTCATATTTTCGCGCTTGAATGACAATATTTATGGTTTGCGAATAAATCTAAAGAAACATTATAATTTTTTAATGCAAATACAATTCATCTCACAAATCTGTCCACTTTTTGTCGCACGATTAGCAAGATATTGTCATATTCTTGTTATGTATATATGTAACGTGAATTGATTCAATAGCTTGATTTTTGTCAAGTATAAAAAATATATAAGTATATCTCGGAGACGCGAGGTATTGAAGAGCAGCATTCAATATCTCGTGAGAAATAACGCTTTATTTTTTCCATCGCAAACAATATTATTGCAATTTCCGTGATAATCGACTGTGTCTGTACGACAATTATTTCCTTGTGCATAACTCGTTTCTCATGGATTACGAAAACCCGTTTCTCGGAAAATCTCGCATAATATCCTGGTAGCTTTATTTACTTTTGAATATTCAACTTGTACTTGTGCTTGAGACTCTTCAAGTTTGCGCGTATCTGCATCCATGTATTCGAACACGAGGAATTTTCAGGTACATGCTAAAGCCGGAGGAAGACAGCAAGGACAATTTTTACTTACTGTCGAATGGTTCCATCTTTGCGCCTAAAATCGATCATGTGCCACTTATGCTCATGCCCGGTAAGGATTACTGCATGGAAGTTGTGCCCGGAGAAAAACAAAAACTTAGGGCACTCGTTTGTTTCAAAGGTATGCCATTGAACAAAATGAGACATAATAGGAACAGAAAGTTCTCCTAAACTTTTCTTCTATCTCTGCATCTTATACGTATTTATAAGTAACGGTTTGAATACATAGTACGCTCATTAATTTATAAATCTTTTCCAGTATGATAAGGACCACAACCATATATGGTCGAAACGTCGTAGTAATAATAATAATCGTAGTAATAATAATAATAAACAAATAATCGTATTATTATATTATATAATCGTATTAATAATAAATATTAATAATAAATATTATATAATAATAAACAAATTTTCTGGCTAGTTTGGTCGATTACACTTTTTTCAATGATCCTTTGATTATTTGACTAGCGACATTAAGATATTTTATAACTTTTAGTATTTATAAGTATTTCGTGCAAAGATATTTAATCGTTGTTGACAATCTTTTTCGTAAACTTGTTCTGGAATTTTAATCTCTATAGATAATTCTTCACACTTGTAAGTTGCAAATCATTTATCTAGAAAATCTAGTTTATATAAAACGAAATAAAATATCCGAATCATAGATCATTCACTAAATAATTCGTTTAATTTTTTGAAGACTTTTGAAATCGCTTAATGAAACATGTAACAATTGCAGAACCTATCCCGCCTGACAATGGACCGGTTATCATTTACGCTTGCGGACTCTTGATTTCGGTTCCTTTTTTTATTCTGACCATCGCGGCGTACGTAATAACGCCAAAGTTGAAGGACGTTTATGGGAAAGCCCTTTGTCACTATTGCGGCTGCTTGGCGGTAGCCTTCATTACTTTAGCCATTACGCAACTCGCGAGCGCGCGATTGTCGTCTGAGGTCTGCATTAGCATAGGTAAAGTAATTAATTATCCAACATAGAGGAACGTGCGACATTGCTGTTATGAAAATATGTTGTATCATAACATTTATCATTCTTAGTTATAAAAAGAAAACTTGATTCTCGCGATTACTGCTGAACGTTTGATTAAAAATTTAACTTTTCAATTAAATTTACTACAAGAATCTGTTTAAAAATACTACGAAATTGTCATATTTTCTTATAATTTTTTGAACATTGCATTTTTTGAACCATCGCGTTTTTAAGAAATGATATAATTTGATGATATCATAGAATGTTATTCGCTACTCTTCGCTCTTTAAGAACAAATGACAGACGTGCTAATTAAGAGACTGTGTGGTATCGTTTTTAGCATTCGTCATCCAGTTCTCGTTCGTGGCCTGCTTTTTCTGGCTGAACGTGATGTGCATCGAAACGTGGTCATTAGTACATCATCATGTAAACCATCGCACGTACAGAAGGATTCAGCCCAAAACGCTGTTCTTCTATTACTCGATATGGGCCTGGGGTCCATCGACGATTCTCCTTCTCATTTTGATAGGGATGAATTTCGGTCCCATGATACCCATGACTTATGCCAAGCCCACTTTCAGTAGCGTAAGCTGCTTCATGTGTAAGTCCATTTATAGATCTCGCACCTCATCCAACAAGCATCATCCAGTCACACATCAATCAAGCTCTTTGCAAATATATTCTCTTGCAGCAAAATAAATACATGAACACTTGAATAAGATAAACATATGCGATTCGATTATATAATCATTATCTGTGACGGAACAATTTTCATCATCGTAATAAGAATCATAATTCTCATCTTTAATTGATATTCCCGAGAAAGGAAAATTAATCGATATATTAATTATTCGCTTCTTCTGCAGCTAACGTGGAAACCATTCCATACTTTTACATGCCGATTGGGCTTCTTCTGCTGGCGAATATGATCCTCTTCATAATCACATCTATCAAAATCGGCCGTTATCAGCAGGAACTCGCATTGAGATGCTTGGCGAGGAATCAGCATTCCGATCGAGAGGATCAGAGGCTCTTTCGCAGAATCAAACGAACTTTCGTCGTCTGCCTGATGCTCTTCTTTCTGATGGGTCTCAATTGGATAATGGAATTGATCTCTTGGTGGGCTGGCCCCCTGAGCTGGTCAGCCTTCGATCTAGTGAACGCTCTTCAAGGCGTTCTCGTTTTTGGCCTGTTTGTCCTGAGGAAACCCACCAGAGATGTTGTCTGGCATCGAATACAAAAGCTACGGGGAATCCATACCACGGAAACTGTCACGCCAAATATCGGAAGTATGGATTTAGCACTACTGCCTGTGATAAACGGCGATTTGCCTAGACAGACTGTCGTTCCATGATAATTTAGGGAAAAAAATTTATCTTTATCTAGATGTGAAGTGTGAAGCATTTAACGTGCGCGTCGACTATGTCAGCCGTGAACCTGAGGCAATCGATAAACTAATGATGACCCAATGGAAAAAGGAACCCGAATGTATATACAGCTCCGTAGCATGAGATCGAAGTTATTTTAACTTCGATGTATGGCAGCGGACTAAAGTGGACTTTCCCGACCGATGACGTTCATGGAGATATGAAATATCGCCATGTTATTGATAGGATTCTTCAATTTTATTCGTTTGATACCCACCTATGTCGTAAGATTTTCGACGTGCGGAACTTTCGTGAAAGAGATTATTTATATTTAATTTAATCGCGTACATTACGCGGTAAGTAATAGCTCTAGTCTCTTTTTAATTAAATAATATCTAGACTTAGATATATACATATATATATGTTTAGAATTAGAAATATGTATGAAGAAGTATGTAAGAATTAGAAATATGTTGTATTTCTTCTGAAATACAAACGTAAATGCATAGAACATGACTGTGTTGCAGCTGAATTGCAACATTATATGAAACAAATTTGTGCAAATAATGTCTTATATAATATATCTTTGCTCTTCTTACACATATATGTCATGGCTCTTATATGCTGATTATACAACCATGAGAAAACAGATAATAGATGGACAAAAAAATGACCTTACCTGACAAAATGATAAGGATCTCAAATGTACGTGTAATTATAAACATAACTAAAAAATAATCACGTGTTAATTAAGATAAAAATATACATACATACATATATGTGTATATGTGTGATAACTATGTGTTTTATTAGACGTAATATTATTATCATATGATATATATTATTCTATGTGATACTTATGATTTTACAATTCATGCTGCAAATAGATATTTACGTCGTTAATATATCATTTACATCTTTTGTACTTATGCGTTGCATTCCACATCAAATTCGACATAGTACTTTTATTGTATTCCTGATAAATTGCGTTCAAATTCGCATGCAGGACATTCCATTAAATATGGCACGTCAAAACGCATTGCTTATACGTAATTATTAGTTTGTCGTATCAAATTTAGTAGAATGCGGATTTTATAGAATTGAATATGATACTGCATTTTTGCTTCCTTCCATGTAGCTTGCACATTATTTATTATTGCAATTATTAATTTATTGTTATAAATCATACACGTAATCACGGAGCGAAAGGCAAATGAGCTGAGACGAATAAAAAATATTAATATCCTTTATTTGCGTCCCCTTTTTAAAACCACACATAGAATATATATTTACTTATTTAAAAATCATGCCGACGCGGCGCTATAAAAATAAAATAGCATGGGTTTACACGATGGGCAGTAGTAATGAGCCGCCGTAATCCAAATTTCCCACTAGAAATTACTATACTAAGAAAATAATGATCATGATATGCCATATGAACGCACTCGTACACATTGGTTAATCATTTAACGCTGGGGTAATAAGAAAAAATAATATATAACATAATCTTCTCCATTTTCTTTTATGAATTGAAAAAAAATTTCGCGTGCAAAAAAATATGTGGCAGTGCATTCACTGCAAGCTCTAAAGTGTACGATTCTTATGCCGCGACGCACTCTAAGTGGCAAGGCTGAGTGCGAAGACCAGGTACCAAAAGTAATGTACATCCTATGTGTAAAGCATCATAGCATTTTTCGCGATGCTTTGTAAATGTATTTCAATTTACTATATATCGTGTTATAAGCACCTTCTGATTAAAGGCCATATCTCTTCATTTCCTACTTATAGAATAGTGAACCGAGTTCTAAAACATTATCACATTTTCTAGGAAAGATTGTGATTGTTAATAAGATGTAATAAAAAGTCAAGCCAAGAAAATATTTTCTTCCATCTGCGGTAAAAAATTGTACAGATATTTGATTTCTCGACGAAAGAATTGGTGTTCATGTACTTAAATCTTGGTGTGTGTGTGAGTGTGTGTGAGAGAGAAAGAGAGAGATCGATTCTTCACTGTAAAATATTTACGTGGATGATGAAACGCATGGCTCGATTGAATTGCGACAACCCGAAAAACCCAAACTAACACCCAAAATCTCGATAAAATCTCCTCGTTGTGCTACGTAAACCAGACAATACGTTTCCGATGAACGAAGCGCTGTATCATTGAAGAATATTCGTTCCGTGCTTCCGTGAGGTTCATTATAAGTTGACATTGGTTTACCTAAATAGCAGATATTTATTAGAAAACATTGAATAGCTCCAGATATTAGAAAATAGATTATAATGGAATGTAGAACTTACCGCGACTAACATATTCATAAATGACGTAGTCATCTAGACTGGAGAATTCGTTAGGGAAGAGACCTATCCAATCCCCATTACTCGGTGTAAAATCTCTCTGCAGTTTGTACGATATACAATTTTCCTCCACTGTACATTCTTGAAATTCCACAATGTACTCATTCACATTAGGTCTGACCTAAAGATTTTTTCATTCATATTTAGACAATGTAATATGCAAAAGAAACGTACAGAAGATTCTATCTTTTTACCGAGATATCAAATTCCCCAGTTACAGGTTTATGATCAGAGACACTGTAAGTGGGATGACTTTTATAAGTATGCTGTTCTGCCTTAAGTTCTACATCGTTGTACATATCTATTGCATTTACTTTATACAAAATCCTGTCAGTCCAAGAAGGTCTGCGTCTATGTAATAAATAATTAATTATGTAATAAGTAATAAATAATTGTGGGACAAAATTTATTACTTACATATACGTGAAAAATAAATTTATATTTTAAACTAACTGTTTTTTTTCTCTCTAGGTGTGTGCAACTTACTTGAGATCAAATTCCTGAGACTCGAATTCGTATTTATAAGTAGGCGGGAATGTAATAATGCTTTCATTCAACTCCGCAAAAGCTTGGCACTCTCTCATTACCATTTTCAACTGATCTCTTTCGAGAAGCTCTTTGAGTTTTTTCTTCTTCACAAGTAAGTTTATCTCAGCGCCGGTTAAGTCTTCTTCATTAAGTCGAAAGTTCAAATCACCGATCCAAAATATATAACTAACAAAAATACATCATTATTGCTAGTGAAAACATAATTGTTACATAATTCTTTTAAATATATAAAAGAGAAATATATTCATACTCATGATATAATATCTTTGATGTATCTGGAGCAGTGAAAGTATGATCTGTCACTATGGTATTGTAATCTGAGATTCTATCGGCCAGCAAATGATCATGAGGAGTCAAGTGTGTATTTACAACGCATACACTAACTCCATAGGCATTCATTCTTATGCTTACTGCGCCCTTGTTTCCCTAAAACAAAACGACATTGTAAGTAAAACAAAGATTTCTATCGCTATATTGCTCTCTTACCCACATGCCACCAAAACCTGTCCTAGTGTATTGAGCTTCTATTAATTTTAATTGTGTTAAATGCTTCCTTAGACAAAAGGCATTTAAAACAAGACCCTGCAATCGTTGTGAACGTATTTTTATGTAATCATACTTTTTCAGTACATCTCTGCAAAATGTCAAAAAAATTATTTTCCACTTATAGATAATTTACATATTGAATAATATATTGTTTTAATGTACCTAAAGGCTTTAGTCCAAGGATCCTCAAGTAGTATGTAATCCAACACTATATTTTGTGGCTGTGATTTAACTTCTTGAAATCTGGAAGAATACATGCTTCAGAGAGAATACATCAGAACTAAATTAGTTACATCAAGAGAAAAGTATGCTGCGAATATACCCAATAAAGTATATATCTGGCCATAAGTTTGTCTCGCCGCAAGGTGTGATGCCCAAAAGCTGGTGAAGATCCTGATTAGGATCGGGAAACTTTGTAGCCACATTGTATGTGATGAAGTAAATTCTTTACAGCGTAAAAAGAAAATATTACATTGCAATTTAGAACTTGTTTATAAGATGTTGTAACTTATTTACAGGATATGAACTAGTTTACATTTCTGATTGAATTTGACATTTACCTGAGCTGTTTCACCGGATCTGCCATCTCTAGTAGGGAGAATTCAGGCTTGACGAAAAATTTACGTAATTCTTTAGCGAAGGAAATATTTAGCGCGAGTTATATCACGCTGACTCTGCACAGTGCTGAATGACTGCTCATCGTACGTCAGGTTAGAAATGAATGCGGCGTAGTAGTCGAGTGCCCCGAGTATTCTGCGTACCTTTCACCCGGCAATATCTGCCGCGAGGAAACTGCCGTTCAACAAAATACGTCGCGGGCATCTGGACATTCGATCTGATACGTCTCTACTATGATGCCATGTTGTTGACAAGTGTGGAGTGTGGAGGGAAGTCAAACTGCCTCCCCTCCCTCGCCGTTGTTGTTGCGTTCACGTGACGTCAGACTATCTCAGACGCGCTTGTCATTTATGCACGTGTAACAGATCGCACGTGCGATCGATCACGATCGAACGTACAACGATGTAACATACATTAGCACACTTCAAGATTTTGCTTGTCATCGAAAATATCCTTTGAAATTCTTGTGTAAAGAGAGATTCGGTTGCCGCTGATCAGCTGACAATGACAAATCCTTTTACAAATTCATAGTCGATTTGTTTTGATGAATTGGAAGAATTACAGAAATTATTTAATATTTTACAGAATATATAATCGCATCAGCTGATAATGACAGATGCCCCTGCAAATTCGAAATCAATCTCTTTTGACGAAATTTCATGTTTGGAACAATATTATAAAACTGCAATGTTTAATATATAGAATAATAACCGCATCAGCTGATAATGACAGATGCTCCTGTAAATTCGAAATCAATCTCTTTTGATGAAATTTCATGCTTGGAAGAATTACAGAACGGTGTTTAATATTTTACAGTATACATAATCGCATCAGCTGATAATGACAGATGCCCTTGCAAATTCGAAATCAATCTCTTTTGACGAAATTTCATGCTTGGAAAAATTACAGAATTGTGTTTAATATTTTATAGTATACATAGGGTGTTTTCCAGCTAGCGACACAGAGGACACAGTGTAACACAGTGAATCATTTCATCCTTGTTTACATTCGACAACCAACAAGGATGAAGTGATACACTGTGTCCTCTGTGTCGCTATCTGGAAAACGCCCATAATCGCATCAGCTGATAATGACAGATGCCCCTGCAAATTCGAAATCAATCCCTTTTGACGAAATTTCATGCTTGGAAGAATTACAGAACGGTGTTTAATATTTTACAGTATACATAATCGCATCAGCTGATAATGACAGATAACCCTGCAAATTCGAAATCAATCTCTTTTGACGAAATTTCATGTTTGGAACAATATTATAAAACTGCAATGTTTAATATACAGAATAATTTAATCGCATCAGCTGATAATGACAGATTCTCTTGCAAATTCAAAGTCGATTTTTTAAAATAAAGTTTCATTTTCTTAGAATAATTACAAAACTATTTACAAAATATGTATTACAAAATATTTGATAATATTGAGGTTTCATTTTTAATTAATTAGATTAGGATATTGAAAAAATTGCATATTTTTTCCAAGCATGTCGTAATCTGAAAACATTAATGATAGAGGAAATAGGTAAACCATGTATAAAAAATGTATCATACGTTTATTACATTAATCTGGAAATAACTTTCAGCTTTTTGAGATGATCAATGATTCACAAAGTTAGATTCATTAATTATTCACGATGAATCGCATATGTTCATTCTCGCGATAGTCATCTGTGTTATAAAACTTTCATAATAGGTATTTATCGCTTCTTCTCTTTCTCTCTTGAGGCACTCAAGTTGAATAATGGTATATATTGTAATGAATTATTTACAGAGCAATGAGAAAATAATTGTTCATCGCATCGCAATCTACAAAAAACGAGACTTATTATCATCATCGACAATAAGAGTCGTCTTATCAATACATCATTCCGGGATGAGCCGCCCTCTGAAAGAACACATTGGGATTGGCCGACAAGGTCGTGTAGAGATTTCCGGCATCCTCCGGCCTCAAGTACATACCGGGTGGCAAAACGAACGTCTCCATCGGTCCATGTACATCTGCAAGCAGCATAGATATTCGTGTGTGAAATAAATATTTCATAAAAAGGAAATTGAAATTGATCAGACATCTGGAACAAACCGCCCATCGACCTGATTCACGTTCCCCGGAAATGAATTATTAAACAGTATCGGATCAGAGGAGCGCGTATCCGGTCGTAACTTTATTTAAAACGTGCGCGTGACTATTTTCCATTCTCGATAATAAATTATAATATCGATAGACGGACAAGATATCCCGTCCATCGAAATCGCGTCGTGCAAAACCAGGACGAAGCCCGGTTATGCCGCTCACTCTAAACGCGACTGTAATTTAAATCGGCGTAAAGTAGGTCTCTCGGCTCTCGCAGCTGTCGTTACAAGATGATTACGCGAGCTCATTCGACTAGAGTAGATCGGTAATTAAATTCGGCTTTCGAGACGCACGTGATGATTTCTTTCGACATAGTAATCGAGATCTTCCCTCGGAGAAACGAGTCGCGAGTGTAAATTCACGCCTCTCTTTTTCAATTATCTTTTTAATTTACTTTTCTTTTCTCTTAATAATCCTTGGTCAATATTATCACTTTCTTATACACGTTCACTTGTAGCGTCCGTTGCATGCGCTACGAACTGATGACAATGTAAAGGAAACCACTTGTCAGCGGGATGTCGTGCCTCGCGTAACAAGCGAGCTGTTCTCGAACCCGAGGAGGCTAGCGACCTTTGCATCGTAATACCTTGCGTATTTCACGCCTTGCACGTAATAATGAGCTTTACCGTAAAGAAACTTGTCATCAGAACGGGTGAAATATATATATGTATGTCGAGCGAGATATACCTGAGAAATGTTTCGCACTCAAGGGGAATCGGAACACGCGTTAACGAGTTCCTACGCGAAAGTTTGCGGTGATTTCTCGAGGAGATGCTTTAGCGAATTTCGCGTACGCGTGTCTTTAACGTAAAATGCGTAAAATCGCGTGGGTGAAAGTCATTCGGTTATGATTTACGAGCCATCGTGTATGTTCTAGAAAGGATCTCTCGTACACTAAGAAAAAAAATCTGATTACATTAATTAGAATTCTGATAGATTCAACCAGTATGTCTGTTGGAAAATGGACGAACCAGAATTCTTGTAGGAATTACCAGATGAATCTGATTAATTTCTTCCTGTTAAATTTACCAAATTTTCTGGTTAATAATACTAAACTCGCCAGCACCAAGTCGTCTAAAATTTTTTCCATCTAATCTCAAAAGTCTGTTTAATATTGTGAATTCCAACAAGATTATTGGATAAATTCAATCCAGATTATTGAATAAATTATTTTAAATTTAGTTTGTTGAAAATTAAACTGATAAACAGTGCACTGAGAAAAAATCTGATTGCATAAATTAGAATTCTGGTAGATTCAACCAGTATGTCTGTTGAAAAATGGATGAACCAGAATTCTTGTAGGAATTACCAGATAAATCTGATTAATTTCTTCCTGTTAAATTTATCAAATTTTCTGGTTAATAATATTAAACTCGCCAGCACCAAGTCGTCTAAAATTTTTTCCATCTAATCTCAAAAGTCTGTTTAATATTGTGAATTCCAACAAGAAGATTGGATAAATTCAATCCAGATTATTGAATAAATTATTTTAAATTCAGTTTGTTAAAAATTAAACTGATAAACAGTGATGCAAGAAGAGGATGCAGCTCAAACACCCACAATCAGAGAGCTGGCGTCCTCTTTCTGGCACTACTGCTCGTAAGAGAAAAAAAAATACTTTGGATTTAACGTTAATACTAGTTCTTTATATACATTTCATGTCAAATATTGAATACGAGTTAAGTTAAGAGTGGCAAGCAAAGAAATTAATGTAACAAGAAATTTTATAGATCCAACCAGAAAATACTAACCAAATCCTTATAGTAAAATCTATTAAACGTTCTGGTTATAAAAAATCGAGTCTTATCACGATAACTAGAAATTCTTGTTTGATTTAACCAAAATGCCTTCAAGCATATACGTCTTGTTGGTATAATCAAACGATTTTTCGCAGTGTGTCGACTAGATCCACGCGTACATTAAGTAGAGCGAGAAATATGTTTCCACGAGTCTAACATCTCCCTTTTATTTTTATATATTTTTTGATCTTATTTAACGCGTTGAGTAACGAACGAACGTAACGCCACGACCTGGTTACAATGACACGTTCCCTTCGAATAGAGTTGAATAGGATCTAGAAATCTTGTTTATGTACGCGCGCGCTTTTCCATTATGCGTCTCTAGAAAGTGTGAAACTCCCGCTTACAATAGTTCTCTCTAAAAGAAAATGTATCTCGAATCTCGATTCTCGGGCATGAGAAGAAGGCCCATCTTTGTCACCGAGTTGAATCTCGTTTCACGAGAGCACGAGGCTCCAATCTCTCTTTCTCTTTAACGGGATTTGTGTTCTCCCTTTCCTCTTTCTTTTCCAACATCGTGCGTGTAACTATGTTGACCTCCGCCTCGGACTTTCTCCCTCTTCGTCTCTTTCTATTTCCTCTCTTTCGTTCGCACCTCGAGGTGAAGGTCGCCGAGGGCGTCAGCGTGACGGAGGAAAAGTTTCGGGCCAGAAAATCCACGGACAGGACAGGAAGCGTCGAGATTTTACAAACGATGCGCGTGCTTCGCACGAGACGTTCTGTCCTCGAGCGAGTGTAAAATATTTAATCATACTTTTTTAGCTAGAAAAATCCTAAAACTTTAATACGGGATGATCTGTATACATCTAGCAATATTTCGGTATCAGATCCCACGATATCGTGTGATATGAATCAAAACTAGCAAGAATCGATTAGTAAAATATCCCAAAGAATCAAACTTTGCCAATATATTCTATGATCAATAAAGGAAATGTTATATTATACAAGCATAGATCGTTTTATTATTATATCAAAAGAGGATTCAATTTGCTTCATTTTAAAAATCATTCTTCGTCCTTTTTAACTTTAAATGCCAATACAAATTTGAGAAATTGAATTTAAGACTGTACGAATTTTATGTCCATCTGACTTTAACTCAATAAATCCCAAGCTAATCTTCTCGATGAATTCTTGCTCCGAAAATTGACTCTTGTAAGATACACTTTCGCTTTCACAATTCGTCACAGGTAAAAATCAAGCTAATAGACTAAACAGACTAAATATAAAAACGATTTTACTTATTCTTTTCTATATCGTTATATATTTCATATCAAGAGTGTAATATTTATATTATAATTTTCTAATGAAGCCCTTTTGAAGTAATGTAACATTTTTTTCTTTTTTTTAAGAGAAATATTGGCAAAATTTCTTTCCAAAAATTTGAGAAAATGTTTATGTATTATACTATAATTTTATATCAACTTTTATATTAAAATCTGTCATATATACATGACGTTTCGATCGGAATAAATCGATACGCTTTTGTCGGAACCTGTTCCTTGCGTGACACGAAGGACATCGACGACGTAACCGTCGCAAAAAAAAAATGCAAGTACCTACAGCGGGGTCGTCATACGACGACACACAGGGCAGTTTTGCATACGGCACGTAATAATAATCGGCCTCAGCTGATTTCTGAAAATAAATAATGACGGCTTACCGTCCGAGTATATAGGACTTCCTCCGTGCCTGCAGGCGCTGCATCCGGGTATCCCGGACGAGACCAGTGCGACTCGATCTGTAATTAGAAGTTTCCACGTTATGGTAATCTCGGGGGGAGCGCGATTACGCGAATTACGCTACTGTAACCGTTCATTTTAGAGCACGTCGTTTTAACCGATTGCAACCGGTCCATCGATTTCAGTTTACCAGTTTGTATGCGATTACGATTTAAGACGATTCTTCTAACCAGAGTTAACTGTTACCGTTTGCAACTCATCGTCAAGTAACATGCGATTATAGGGGTAATTATTGTAATCAAGTATCACCTCGATCGCGAGAATTGTTGCTCCAGTTTTAAACGCAAAACATGCGTCCTGTTTATTCACTTTCTCGTTTATTCCTTTATTCCCGTTCACACGCTGCCAATTTCGTCGATCTTGACCGCATTTCCATTATTCGGCGCGATTACCTTATTCGCCCGTTTAACGATACCTGAAGATCTTTCTCGCGGTATCGAGCAAACGAATCGGAACGACGGTCGCTGATAGTTTCGAGAAATATAATCGCACGGTGCGTGCACAGTAAGAGAAACTTGGGTTCAGTAAAAAAGAGAGAGAAGCATCGTTAAGGTATCTGTTAAAGCGCCTCCTCTTCGACCTATTTTTTACAAACAATTTCCCTTTTCTTTTACCAGCACTATGATAATGCAGCTTCCTCTTCAAAGACGCCTCCGCGGGCTTGAAGTGGAAGAAGGAGGGCGAGTAGCCGCTGCCGGGAAGCGAGCTGAGGGCATCGTCACGATCGCGAATGACAGCGGCAGGACCCTCGCGACCTAGAGCGGCCAGTTGGCGTCCCTTCGGCAGGAACATCGTGAGGAAGACGAAGAGCGACGTGGCCAGGAGGCCGTAAGCCAGCCAGGCCTCTCGATCGTCCTCGCTGCCGGCAGCGAGCGAACCGATCGCGCTGGAGACCCAAATCGGTAGCGAGAGGCCAACCGCCAGACCGATGAAAGCCGCTTCTCGATTATTGTCCCGAACACCGCGTGCCCGGACAGCCAGGCAAGCTACTGCCACCAGGAGTGCTCCGGGATACCTGGAATTTAGCAACAACTGTGGAAAGGACGAATCTCGTTTAATTAAAATGTGAATGTATAAAGATCATTTATACACTGAGAAAAAAATCATGCATTAATTAGAATTCTGGTAGATTCAATCAGTATGTCTGTTGGAAAATGGACGAACCAGAATTCTTGTGGGAATTACCACATAGAGAAAAATATCATTTTACTGCCAAGAAAAGCGATTACTCAGTTTATTTTTCTTTTTTTAAGTAATAGTTTTCTTCAACAAAGAACATATTCTTGATAATAATCTTCAAATATACTTATCACAAGTGTTAGAAAATTTCATTATCATGTACTCAAAGGAAGAATTTATTTTCTCTTCAAGAATATTGTAAAGTTGTATCAAAGAAAAATCAAACATGCTTTACGTCAACTTTTGTAGTAAGCAAACCAAATTTTTGTTTTAATTTAATATTCTTGACTAAAATACTGCATTTACTAAAATTCAGAATATATGCAATTAAATTTAATACTTGTGATAAACTTATGATATATTTGCGGTTATACAAACTTATGATATATTTCAAATCAATAATATTTACCCGAATACAGAATACATTTTTCTCTGCAGATGAATCTGATTAATTTCTTCCTGTTAAATTTACCAAATTTTCTGATTAATAATACTAAACTCGCATCAAGTCGTCTAAAATTTTTTCCATCTAATCTCAAAAGTCTGTTTAATATTCTGAATTCCAACAAGATTATTGGATAAATTCAATCAAGATTATTAAATAAATTATTTTAAGTTGAGTTTGTTAGATATTAAACTGATAAACAGTGATGCAAGAAGAGGATGCATCTCAAACACACACAATTTAGAGAGCTAGCGTCTTCTTTCTGGCACTACTGCTCGTAAGAGAAAAAAATATACTTTGGATTTAATGTTAATACTAGTTTTTTATATACATTTCATGGCAAATATTGAATACGAGTAAAGTTAAGAGTGGCAAGCAAAGAAATTAATGCAACAAGAAATTTAGACCCAACCAGAAAATACTAACCAAATCCTTGTAGTAAAATCTATTAAACGTTCTTACAAAGGTTAGTTATAAAAAATCGAGTCTTATCATGATAACAAGAAATTCTTGTTTGATTGAACCAAAATGCCTTCAATCATATACATCTTGCTGGTACAATCAAACGATTTTTCTCAGTGTAGTTATGAAGGCAATTTGGAAAAAAAATGAATAAAAATGTATTGATTAGAGAAAGATGATCAGAGTGTGATGTAATTAATTAAGAGAAACTTGATGGAATGAATATAATCGATTTAATTCGCGCATTCATGTCGAGAAAGGTTAATTCGCAAAGGTTTACCCGAGGGAAGCCACTATCTGTCCGAGTGGAGTCTTGCAGGAGGTGGACGCTGGCGAGCTTTGGCCCGCTTGCTGCTGTTGCTGCACCTGGATCACCGCAGGTGGTTCGCCGTAAAACCATTGCCCGACAATGGCCACCTGCACCAACACTGCAAACGCCAGCACCAGCGCCTGCAGCAGCAGAACCGGGACAAGAAAAAGCTTCTTCGTGTATACGATTACTTCCTTTCTACGAGATTCACGCGGCCGTCCACCCCGCGTCGATCGGCGCTTTAATTAAAGGTGAACGTCCGACGGTGACATCCGGCCGGCGTGCGTTCTTTTAACGCATACGTGGAATAGAACGGTTTTTAACCAAGTAACGTGGATAAAGGGGCACAAAACACGTGAAACTAAGCTTATTTTCCTACGTTGTATACCACTTTATCCTCTTAAAAACACGAAAAGATGGAAGTATAACGTGTAATTACATCTCCGACTGAAAATTTCTCGATTCTCGCTAATTAAATTCCTATTAATGTCACTCGCGTGTGTCAAGCACTTTCGTCTAACTAAACATGTAAATGATAATAGTGTTCTTAATTACACGAGTATAATTACATCTCGCTTGTTAGTGGACGGGTCGTTTCTACTTCGCGCGTTTTTAACGTGCTAAAAAAAGAAAAAAAAAAGATTCTTCTCCGATCGCAAATGACTCATCGTCGTGTCGCGATAGGCTGGGGCACGTCGAACGTGAAAAATGAATGTTCCTCCGGAAGGAGGCCTCCGCAGGGCGAGCAGTGCCACGCCTGTCATTCAGCATGTGCGCCAACACGAACGCCGCGATAATTACGTTCGCGGTTTTTCGCTCACGTGTAATTAATCGTCGTACGGCGCGATGACGCAACGCTGGGTAAGAAGAGTAAAACGGAAGAGGAGGAAAGAACGTTTGAGGCCCGCTCGCGATATACAAATGACCATGCAAGATGAACATCCGGAGGTGGTAAGATCGACGGAATTGTCGGTGTTAAAAGAGACAGGTGAAATCACGTCACTTTTTTCATGTTTATTTCGATGCCTACTTTCGATTAATCATCCAAGATCTTATCCACGTTCATCTTCACTAAGCATCCTGAAATTATCTCGTTACTTTTTTAATTAATGTGGGGATTTCTTTTTATATTACATGTGCGCGCGTGTGTTTTCCGCTGATAAGTTTTCAATATTCTATTAAAGTGGTGATCTAAATATTAAACGGACGTAAAATCAGCTCACAGGATGTGCCAGAATATTTTCTGTTGTATATATTTACGTCTAAAAGACTATGATAGTCTCGAAATAAAAATTCACAGGTAGATCAATAAATTGATTTATGATTCTAGAGCCTACTGTGATGTGATAGATCATTCGTATCGAGGGGGCTTACCTGATAAGGCGCCGGCAGATAGACACCGCTGTTCAACGAGAGCAGGAAGACGCATTTCACCAGCAGGGCGGCGAACACGAGGGCGGCGGGTAGACCCACCAACCGGAATGCGGCGCAAGACAGCGGATTTTGGCTGAGGGAAGCTGCAGCCGAAAGGCCCGCCAAGAGAAAGAGGCCCAGAAGTAGCGTCTGGCCCAGAAATAAATGTCGTCTGTTGGGCGCCGTTGTTCTGGCCTGAAACATGAGGTAAATGCCATCAATATTCAAAATTCCAAATTTATTTTAATAATGTAAACATATTTTGAAACTCGGGCGATTTGGTGTTTTATGATTAAGTAAGTCGGAAACGCGAGAATACTTTTAATAGTGATCTTCATATCGCGCTTTTCTCTTCGAAGATTGAGAAATGATATGCAAAACACTGTGAATAGCTTGCATATTTAATTAAATTCTGAAGCAAACTTGTGTCAATTTTTCCAATTTAAATAATGCAATTTGTTCCTCATTTATTAAATTCATAAAATATTTAAAAGATTCTACATTTTTTTACATGAAAAGAAAACAAACATTAAATTTCTATAGCTTGTATATACGAGATGCAATTATATATTTTTTAAAAATGTTTCGCAAAAGTCACTGTGCCTTGATTATCAATTAAATTTTAATTATCGATTTAATTATTTTTTCTTAAATGCATATATTTTTGAACCGGAAAATTCCATAATTCTTACATTAATCGATTTGATAGTCATTTCAATAGGGCCTCTCTGCTGCGACCTATCCCGAAAATCGTTCAATAGAATGTATTAGAGGGTGCAACCGGAAGAACCAGTCGAACGCGGATGCTAACTAAAATTTAGACCCCAGCGAAATTCCATATTGACGCTGTTTACTGGAGCTTAACAAACGAAAACGACCGATAGTGGGTCGGCGCGAGATCGACGAGCTCTATTAATCCCGCGATCGCGGCCGCAACCGTTCAAGCGATAAAAGCACAGCCACCGTTTCCATTTCATTCACAGAGAAACAGGAACAGCTGTTCTCTCTTCAGTAAAATTTTTTTTCTCAAATTCATATTTTCGTTCGTTCGATGAAAAAGAGTGAAACTAATTATAAGGTAATGAACTGTATTTATTATTCTCCATAATAGAACTTTTTCTGAAATTAATTATGAATTTAGAGAATAAATAGTAAAAGTAACAATCGCACGAAAGCGTTACATAATGGGCATTTATTAGTATCAATTAAATAAAATGGAAATAAAATAGATTGCAAGGTAAAATGATGCGGTCAGGATGTAATAAACGAAGATAATAAAAAAAACAATTATACGAAATAAAAATCAATAGATATTCTCCCTTTTATCGAATATGCAAGTACTTTAAACAAAAAGGAGAATAATAAAAATTTGTGAGAAAACGAAGGTGGAAAATTCAAATGTATTAGATTGAAATGAAAGTTTAGGTAGATAAATTCGAGATAATCTACGAAATGATTAAGATCAAGCTCGATATCGCGAATCATCATTTGCGAGGCGGTAATTATAAAGATACCTAATACATGGAAAATTACATCGTTCCGGTGAATAAAAATCCTGCACTGATTGTGAGAAAAATCGTTTGATTGTACCAACAAGACGTATATGATTGAAGGCATTTTGGTTCAATCAAACAAGAATTTCTAGTTATTATAAGACTCGATTTTTTATAACTAGAACGTTTAATAGATTTTATAAGGATTCCTATAAGGATTTGATTAGTATTTTCTGGTTGGATCTATAAAATTTCTTGTTACATTAATTTTTTTGCTTGCCACTCTTAACTTAATTCGTATTCAATATTTACGATGAAATGTATATAAAGAACTAGTATTAACACTAAATCCAAAGTATATTTTTTTCCTCTTACAAGCAATAGTGCCAGAAAGAAGACGTTAGCTGTCTGATTGTGTGTGCTTGAGTTGCATCCTCTTCTTGCATCACTGTTTATCAGTTTAATTTCTAACAAACTGAATTTAAAATAATTTATTCAATAATTTATTCAATAATTTATTCAATAATTTATTCAATAATTTATTCAATAATTTATTCAATAATTTATTCAATAATTTATTCAATAATTTATTCAATAATCTTGATTGAATTTATGCAATAATCGTGTTGGAATTCAGAATATTAAACAGACTTGTGAGATTAGATGGAAAAAATTTTAGACGACTTGGTGCTGGCGAGTTTAGTATTATTATCCAGAAAATTTGATAAATTTAACAGGAAGAAAATTAATCAGATTCATCTGGTAATTCCTACAAGAATTTTGGTTCATCATTTTCCAACAGACATACCGGTTGAATCTACCAGAATTTAATTAATGCAACCAAATTTTTTTTTTCAGTGCGCCAATTCACGGTTCATTAGAAATTCATTTCGAAAAACAGAAGCATCAACGTCCTTACATGGTGAAGGGAAAAGGACCCACCTTGAACAACACAAAGACCTCGAAACTGGCCATGAGGAGCATCGCCGCGGCGCTCAACGCGGCGAGCGGCAGTGCCCAGGGTCGTTGCTTCAGCAGGGACTTCGGGGTCGGTCGTACCTCCACCTCCTGGCCCTTCTTGACTCCTGGCGAGGGTGATCTGAAGACGGTGATGGTCCGATTGGGCGCAGGCACGCTGATGACGCTCGCCACGCTCGCCAGGCCATGTTGCCCGATCTCGGACGGCACCAGGAAGAACTCCGTCGAGAGCTCGTAGTCCCGGGAACGTGGGGTTCGCGCCGTCGTCGGGCCCGGCCAGCTGGCCGTGATTGTGGCCCACGACAGGATGATCGGGCCCAGCCTCATCGGCGGTTGTCTCTGGTCCCTCGCGTGGATTCGTGCGTGTCCGCTCGCGCGCGTGTACGTCGTGTAATTTTGATCGTCGTCACCGGGATATCATGCACCGTCTCCTGCGTGCGCGCATCCTTGCAGTCACGCATCCACGAACTAGAGTTTACCGGTTGCGTCTGAAATCATGCTCGTAATTAAACGACATGCGAGGCTGATCAACCCTTTGGAACCGTCCATTTTATTCCTTACGTGAACAGTGTCTTATGGAGCATCCGTCTCCGCAAGCAAATAAGATTTTTTTTATTAAAGATTGAAGGGAACGAAGAGAACAAGTATCCATCCATATGCAACAGTATAAAATCTAATCCGTTGCTCAACATTTAGGAAAAGCATCTCCGGCTTTATCGGGGGAGGGAAATTCTCATTAACCCAGGAATGCTGAATCGCATTAATGGTTTACGATCTCTTTCCTCTGCTCTCGCGTGTCAAGTTCGCTCGTGTGGTCCGCTTATGTGTGTATATTAGCTTAGGCCTTTCGAATATTTTCAATCATATCAGCTCAACGCACATCGGGGCTATCGACAAAAAATTTCCTTAACCTGACGAGACTCGAGATAACCGCGCTCTTCGCCTTCATGCAATTTATTAGAGGTGTTCCGGGTCTTTCAGTCGCCCGCGAAAACCGTATACGTAATATCCCGATCAGGTCACGACCGAAGGAAGCGGGAACGGGAGGAGAAAGATCGATGGATCGTCGTGTTAATGATCAATTAAGCCTTCTCGTGACTTACGCCCGCTAGGAGGTAGGCAGGTACGAGCGATCTATATGCGCTAACGCCGTTAATTGCAACATCGTTAATTACGAGCTTGCTCAATTGCGCTCGGAAATTGTTTAATAACGCGTACGCGGCGTGTACGCATTAGTCGCGGATGCGGACTATCTATACTTATCTCCGGGGCCCGGGTATGACCGATTCGAGGGGGGAGTTCGCCTGGTCTAACGCCATTAATTATTACGAACAGGGTCAGCCGTAAGTAGAGTGAAGCACGGACGGAGTAAGACACGACGAAGAAGCGCAAAGATGATCAGATAACGCGCGCGCTCTTCAACTTTACGTCAAAACAGAAGCGGAGGATCGATCGCAAGTTTTGATCCCTGAAATCTTTCTTTCAGCTTCGTTAAAGACATTAGTAAAGTTAATCACGATTGGCACTAATTACACTGCCTATTTTGAAGGATATTAATAAAAAGAGGTCCTTAATGAAGGGAATTCTTACAAGTTCTTCAGCATCGAGCTTTTCTCTCGTGGATCCACCGAATTATTTGGACTCATTCCTTCCGACCCGGTCTATCCCGGATTCGTTATCCAGTTACCAGACTCCTCGTTTGTCCTTTTACGATGTTTTTTTTTTCTTCAAGATCCAGGATTACGGGGGCTACATGCGCGACGCGGATAGATGAGTTCCTCTGTCTCTTTGGAAACTTTAGTCGACGAGTTGGAGGACGATGACCGCGTGATCGGCCGTTTTCGAGCGAAGCGCACGTCGTGAACGCTGCGCTCTTACTGAGCTCGACGCGCTGGTATTCGCGATGGCCAAACCGAAAGCGGACTGGAGTCAGTTCCGTTCCGGAGGTGAGGCCTATCCGTTACAGAGAAGTCGGGGAGATGGTGATGACGATGCAGAGGCGGCGGCGGTGGCGAGGAGCAGGCACGGATACTGAAGAGAAATTATTTCTCGGACGACGTATGATCTCTATTCGTCGATTAAATCGGATATCGATTTGCGTATAGGAGAAGAATATTCCCATACTGAGAAAAAAAATCTGATTGCATTAATTAGAATTCTGGTAGATTCAACCAGTATGTTTGTTGGAAGATGGACGGACTAGAATTCTTGTAGGAATTACCAGGTGAATCTGATTAATTTCTTCCTGTTAAATTTACCAAATTTTCTGGTTAATAATACTAAACTCGCCAGCATCAAGTCATCTCAAATTTTTTCCATCTAATCTCAAGTCTGCTTAATATTCTGAATTCCAACAAGGTTATTGCATAAATTCAATCAAGATTATTGAATAAATTATTTTAAATTCAGTTTGTTAGAAATTAAATTGATAAACAGTGCACTGAGAAAAAAATCTGGTTGCATTAATTAGAATTCTGGTAGATTCAACCAGTATGTTTGTTGGAAGATGGATGGACCAGAATTCTTGTAGGAATTACCAGATGAATCTGATTAATTTCTTCCTGTTAAATTTATCCAATTTTCTGGTTAATAATACTAAACTCGCCAACACCAAGTCGTCTAAAATTGTTTCCATCTAATCTCAAAAGTCTGTTTAATATTCTGAATTCCAACACGATTATTGGATAAATTCAATCCAGATTATTGAATAAATTATTTTAAGTTCAGTTTGTTAGAAATTAAACTGATAAACAGTGATGCAAGAAGAGGATGCAGCTCAAACACACACATCAGAGAGCTGACGTCCTCTTTCTGGCACTACTGCTCGTAAGAGAAAAAAATATACTTTGGATTTAACGTTAATACTAGTTCTTTATATACATTTCATAGCAAATATTGAATACGAGTTAAGTTAAGAGTGGCAAGCAAAGAAATTAATGTAACAAGAAATTTTATAGATCCGACCAGAAAGTACTAACCAAATTCTTATAGTAAAATCTATTAAACTTCTAGTTATAAAAAATTGAGTCTTATCATGATAACTAGAAATTCTTGTTTGATTTAATCAAAACTTCAATCATATACGTCTTGTTGGTACAATCAAATGATTTTTCTCAGTGCAGCAAACACCAAATAACAGTTATATGACTGTTAGTTACAATTTCCCACTCAACGATACAACTGTTACAAGTTATGTAACAGTTATATTGTTGAGTGGGAAATAACTAACAGTAATATAAATGTTACTTGATATTTGCTGGGTTGTTTATCATTTATATAGAGAGAATGATCACAATTATTTATTATTGAATGAACAGAAAGAAATTATCGATCGTTCAGAGAATCTTATCGATATTAATAATTTATTAGATTAAGAATATTTTCAAGAAATTTCAATTTATTTGATTTGTGTCTAGATAAGTTGAGAGAATAGGCTGATATAGGCAGGAATGATATGTGTTGTTCAGGCTCGCGAATTATTTCGCTGATCCGCCCCTGCTGAGCGAAGCGAAGTAGAAGGGCTCTTCGAAAGAATGAGAGAGAAGGGCCCGGCGAAGCTGATCCTTCGACGTCGAGGACCGACCCCGGCGACGCATTTACATATCTTACGTGTAATAACCTCGAAAAAGTTTTAACAATGGCCCGAGGTCCGCCGCGGTCGAGCGAAAGGCGAGAAGGTGTAGAGACGAGAATGAGGGAGGAAACGTTTAACGAACCGTCTGCAATCTTGGAGGATGACAGAGGCACATCCGAGAACGTTTCCGAGTAAATTCCATTCGTCGTTCTCGAGGAGAAACGCGAATCGACTTATCCGAAATCTTAATTGGAATTTTACCAATTAAAAACTCAGTCTAGCGGTAAAAGTTGATTTTTTTTCGAGGAATATTTTAATATTTCCTCCAGTTAGTTTTTAAATTAACTTTTTGGCATTTTACGTGTTTTTAATCATGTTTAATCAGTACATCAGTATCTTTTAATTTTATATTTATATTCACACAGATATTTAGCTTTTTTTGTTCATTACAAGCCATTGGGCGTGGTGTGTTGAAAAATGCATGGTGTGACATGTTGCTCTGAAATGAAAAAGTTTTCGATCTAGTTTTATTCTATAGGATACTTGTGAGACATTAAAGCCAATTTTAGACTTTCACAAAATTAAAAAGAAAAGATTTTATTGGTCCTCTGAAATAGATTGGATTCTTAACTTATCGAAATTTCTCGATAAGATCTGTTTCTCTTTTAAAAAAAAACGCCGACGATACAATTTAACGGATTTAAAAATAATTTTAATGATAAATTTATTATTCGCGTTTACAAACAAGATCGTTAAATTTCGTAGCTCGTCGATCAGATCAATCTCGTCAACCTGAATTTAATTCTTCGAATAGCAGATTGAATTCTGCCGATACACGCGTCGCGTAAAAAAGTACGCGAAATTGCAATCGTCGCTCTCCGCCCCAAAGAAGCTGGACCTGTCGCCGTAAAAGGAGGGAAGCGTATTCGGGACTTCGATATTTGAAGGTTCGATATTTATGTTTCCTGTCGGCTATCTGTAACATTGTTGCGAGATGCGCTTTTTCGCGTGCACGAGCGCGACCATAAAAGAAGCGCGCGTAAAAATTCGCCGCGGATTCCCGCTCGCGTGTCTCGCCGTAAATCGGCTCGTGAAAAAGGGGACTCCGCGGTTTAAAAAGCGAGGTCCGACGACCGCAACTCACACGACAATCCCAATTGCCATCGGGTACAATGTACGATAAAGGATAAAACGGATAAAACGCGAGCGAAAAAACAGCGGTTGCATATCGTCAATAAATCTTACTACTTACATGCGCATATTTATTTTTACAATCGATACACGTCCTTATAATTCGAATAATTCGCATTCGGACTCTTCTCCGAATGAGATTGTGGATTTTATTCAAATTATATTTGTGTGCAGTAAGAAAAATATTTAATTAATTTAAATTTAATATAAATATTTAAATAATTAATTAATATGTACTTATATTTAATTCGGATTCTTCTTCCTTGAAATAAGATTTATTTATTTAAATTATACTTGTGTGGTAAGAAAAATATTTAATTAAATTAAAATTGGATGTTAAATTAAATATAAATATTTAAATAATTAATTAATTTATATTTATGTTTAATTAAATATAAATAAATATTAAATTAATTTTAACATCTTAATACTAAGTTAGTTTCAGTTTCATCATAATTGGTTCCACTTATACAAATAAAATTCATTTAATTTAATCCGTAAATTTAATCCAGGGGGAAAAAACGAGCGAAGGGACAATTCGCGTTTAGTCGCGATATTTTTTTTTTTGCAAAAGGGAGATTCGGTCGCGTCGGCGACATTGTCGCGTCGAAGAGGCAAGGAACGCGAGAGGTATGTTAGGCGCTATTGCGGCGTGGCCGACGGCGACGTACGTACGGTTTGTGTCCGGTTTTCGAGACAAAGAGTTCGTCGAACCCTGGGCCGGGGCTCGTTCGATCGGCGACGCGGCTACCGAACGTGCCGCGTGACGTGCGACGCGTGCACCCACGTGCGATCTTAGCGTGCGCTACTCGCACGTGTCGCAGACGGGAGAGAATTGCGAGGAGGTGAACGACGAGTTTTCAATCGCGATTACGAAGAGGATCGATTATACCGATAAATCAACGCGCATGCATTTGCAAGGAAATTATTTTATTTTAAAACAAAGAATATAATAATATAATAATAAAATAATAAATTTATAAATAATATAATAATAAATATAATAATAAAATAATAAATTTATAAATAATAAATTATAAATAATACAATAATAAAATATAATAATAAAATTTAAGTATCTCTTGCATTCCGTTATAAAAAAATTGAAGATTCGAAGTTAATCGAGGAGAGATACAGAGTCTTCGTAAAGAATATCGGAATAACGATACTCCTTTCAGAGTGTCGCTCGGAGTGGTGACGTCTGGCCACACCCGGCCACTTTCTCCGCCAAAGTCATTCCTATAAGTTACTACCCTTAATGACGCAAGCTGCCCACGCGATCTAGCGTGTGGTGTCGCGGCGCGCTTTCATTCTGGACGAGATAAAAACGAAAAGTAGAGCGCAAGAAATAGCAATTATACTCGCCTGTGGGCAGGTAGCGGATTATCCGATCGACCCTGACCGGATTTCGATAGTTAATTCCGAAGGCACCGCGAAATCTTTGTCCCTAAAAGTACTCGAAGTACACATTTCGCGGAAGAGATTAGATTCTCAGAAACTCAACATTATCTTGTGCAATATTTGATATAAATAATGCATATAATAAAAAATATTTAATTGACTTTCTAATTTATATTACTTATTCTAATCAAAAAAATTTATGAAAATATTATTTGTGCATAAATTATATATATTTGACGTAAGGGGAGAGATATTTTTTATTTGGAAATTTATCAAAAGCAGCATACATTAAAAATGAACACCTCTAAATAATTTTAAAACGCGAAATTTTTATGGCCAGGTGCGATGTCACGTTGGCGAAAAATTTCCGACTGGAAGAAATCGTCGGGCGTCTCTGCTTCATTCGGTCGTGCGAAATTCCTTCCTGCGTTTTAGAGGAACCCTAAAATTGCGCCGCGCCGAATCCCTGGCGTTCCTCTCTCTCTCTTCCAAAATAACCGGAGAAAAAGGGAGACGGAGAGAAGCGGAGCTGCTTGTAACCGGTTTCGACTAAAGCTAAATAAAGGCATGCGAGGGGAGGACACGGTCGTGTCGATAATTACGCTCTTGAAAAAGTTCGCTCGCAAATTTTGATCGCGTTATCACCGTTGCTCGAAAATTTAACGCTACTCCCGTTATTTCGGCAACGCCTGCTGCTCACAAATTAAATATGTGAATATATTAACGGCTGAAACGCGCGCGTCTCGAGACCAAGTGCCGCT